TAAATGTATTCATTTTATTCATGATTCAATCATAAATACTTATTTTAATCAGTAGGTTCAATATTCATAATCATCCATAATATTCATTTATCATAATCATCAATTAACACAACAATTGATAATAAATAGCGGCCTAGCTTCGAGTGTTAACACCCGAACTTACCGTCATGCAACACATAACATTTTTTAGTTGTTAAAAACATCATTTTTATTATGGTAAATCATTTTTATAATGGTCATAATCCATTGGTATCAAAAATAGGATTTTAGAGCTCAAAAATAGCAATTTCAGACAAATTTTCGAATCAGAACTTCGGGGTATCGATCCAGCCCTCTGGATCGATCCATACCATGAAAATTTACTCCCAGGGGATCGATCCAAGCCCCTGGATCGATCCAGACAGTGGCTTTTCAGCCACTGTTCATCGTCTTCTACCTCGCGACTTCAATTTCGGGAATTCCATTTTTAGGTTCCAAACTTCGATTAAACTATATAGAAATGTTCTCCAAGTTTCAAAGATCATTTTGGCATCATTAATTCATAGTTTTAACATCAATTTAATGGTTTATGATTCTTGGTTCTTCAAGCATGTCAAACACAAAACTCAACCAAACGACCGTTTATGAACGTAGAAACGATTTATACAAACATTCTAGTCATTAGATATATCTACGGGCTTACCTCCAAGCTTATCGAAGGTTTTGAGAATTTTCCGGCAAAACTTCCGGCGATGATAACTTCCAACTCCGGCGACTTCGGTGGCAACCAACAATGCCAGACTGCTCTCCTCACTCTTATAAACACAATGGTATTAATATTTGGAAGATTGCTGAAGAAATGGGGAGAGGAGGAAAGTTCTTATATAAGCAGGGAGAAGAAGAAGCTGCCATTTATGCTGAGTCAGTGACAATTCACGATCGTGGATTCAGCGGCGATTTGTAGGATTTTACACGTCACCCTGATTGGGACTAATTTTTGGTCCCAGTCGGGTACACTTTTTGGTCCAACTTTCTCCGAATTGAATTTCGTTTACACCATTGCGATCGGACAGTTAAACTCTATCCAACTATATAATTTTATATTTATTTGTCATACTTTTTCCGACATCACATTTTTGGGTGTTTGACTTTGACAGAGTCAAAATTAGTTTATTTGACCTTTTTTTAAAAAGGTTCTCATATTTAATTCATATCATTTGTTCTCATGATTTATTTCCATAAATTAATTCAAAGTTCACATCACAAATAATTTCTTTATTTATTCTTGGTTTGGGTCTGTACTCAGGTTCCCAATCAAGAACACACAAATAGTCTATATATTGGATTTATCTCTATGAGACTTATCCAGATTTTGATATTAGATGTCAAAACAAATTTCGTATCGGCCCAAAGCCCAACAATAATTTATTTTAATCAAAACAAATTTGATTAATTGATTATTTATTCATTAATAATTCTAGGGTATATTTTGGGGCGTTACATTTCTCCCCCCTTAAAAGGAATTTCGTCCTCGAAATTCTTCTTAGGTTCAACGTTCAATGTTTTGTAATGATCTCACTGATCATGACCGTTTCATATTCATATGGTTATGTCGCTATCTTTCGGATACGTATTCTCAAGTCATTGATTTCACCACACTCGTTCAATCTTTGAGAGATTAACAATTTTCGATTAAGTAAGGTCTTCACTGATCCTTTGACGACAAAAGTTCCTTCATAGTGTGCAGTATTGCATACTTGACATACATAACTTCGTTCAGTTACGAGTCTTATCTGTACGTCCTTGGTTAACAGAATCGATTGAAAATTTCTTCAATACTCTTGAATGGTCTATGATAAGCACAATTGCAGTTTGTTTCAATTCATACGTCGTAACGTAGTCTTTCAATTACTCAAGGGGTCGTTGTCTTCAGGGTAGTAGCCATTTGACTTTTCATCTTGGATTTGAACGTATTTCAGGACAGCGAATCTAACTGTTCATGAGTCTTGATATGTCATATCGTCAGCAGACTGTATTATTAGCGAATACGTCATTGTCAGTAGGTAAATTGAATCTATCTTTGCTGTACAAATTTTGACGGAGGATAATTACCCTTTTTCAAAGGTTAAGTTTTCAGAGCCTATATATATCACGATTGTGGCCAGAGTATTTCACATTCTCACATTATGGAAGGAACATCTCGAACTTTTCCTTACACCATAAAATTCGTTGGTCTACTTGGTAGTCATTCTCTTGGTAGAAATCCAAAGTTCATGGCTACGGCGGTGGATTTAGGAAGGGAATTGGTAAGGCGAAAAATTAGACTTACCTATGGAGGAGGCAACGTTGGCCTTCAAGGAGCTGTTGCTTCAACAGTCTATACCAATGGTGGTATAGTTAGAGGCTTCATACCAGGGTACATAGCAGCACGACAGGTCTACGGACCTACGTATGGTGCAGAATACACAGTTTCAAGCAATTACTANATTTCACATTCTCACATTATGGAAGGAACATCTCGAACTTTTCCTTACACCATAAAATTCGTTGGTCTACTTGGTAGTCATTCTCTTGGTAGAAATCCAAAGTTCATGGCTACGGCGGTGGATTTAGGAAGGGAATTGGTAAGGCGAAAAATTAGACTTACCTATGGAGGAGGCAACGTTGGCCTTCAAGGAGCTGTTGCTTCAACAGTCTATACAACTATATAATTTTTATATTTATTTGTCATCGGAGAGTTAAACTCTATCCAACTATATAATTTTTATATTTATTTGTCATACTTTTTCCGGCATCACATTTTTGGGTGTTTGACTTTGACAGAGTTAAAATTAGTTTATTTGACCTTTTTTTAAAAAGGTTCTCATATTTAATTCATATCATTTGTTCTCATGATTTATTTCCATAAATTAATTCAAAGTTCACATCACAAATAATTTCTTTATTTATTCTTGGTTTGGGTCTGTACTCAGGTTCTCAATCAAGAACACACAAATAGTCCATATATTGGATTTATCTCTATGAGACTAATCCAGATTTTGATATTAGATGTCAAAACAAATTTCGTATCGGCCCAAAGCCCAACAATAATTTATTTTAATCAAAACAAATTTGATTAATTGATTATTTATTCATTAATAATTCTAGGGTATATTTTGGGGCGTTACAGGGGCATCCCCAAGACCCACAAGAAAAAGAAGGGTAAGACCCTCCGACCAGCAACTTCCCGAAACTCTACCTTCGAAAGGCTTGAGGATAGGGAAGAGGGTCAAAGAAAGTCGGCCAAGTTGAGAGTGGGGCAGAGCGTCGCCCATGTCAGTGCATTCGCCCGATTAGGCGAAGGGAGGGAGGCTGAGCCTGCCCGTACCCAGCGCTCCCGGTCGAACCAGCAAGAGCCTGCAAGAACAAGGGCTTCACGCCACGAAGAAGAAGCAGAAAGCCAACCTTGTGGGCCGGTGGCTAACTGGATAACCATCTCGAATGATCGTGTCCAGCAGATGGAGGTGAAATTGGAGAAGCTGGAGAAAAAAGTCGGGGAGAAGAATGACCAGGACAAACCCCTCGCCGGGTCCCCGTTCACCACAAGAGTCCATCTGACACCTTTCCCGCGAAAGGTAAAGATAGACGCCCCAAGGTTCACCAGGAAGGAACACCCAGAAATCCACTTGGATTCCTTTAATCAGAGTGCAACCATGAATGAATGGTTGCACAGACGAAGAAAAGTGCCTCCTTTTCTTCCAAACCTTGCGGAACCGAGCTACCAAATGGTTCAATAAGCTTTGCCCAGGAAGAATTGATTCATTCAGCGACTTGGCCTCGAGATTCAAGGCCAAATTCGAGGTAACTGTACTAAGAGGAAGAAGTTCACATATCTCAGTACAGCCAGGCAGAGGGAATCTGAGAATCTCACTCAATTCCTCACCCGGTGGAAGGAAGAGGTGGACAAGGTGGAAGAGATGGATGACAACACGATCTTGTCTCTCCTCTTGAACGGCTTACGGGCCGGGGAACTATACAAGGAGTTCTACCTGAAACCCCCGGCCACGTATCAAGAAGCTTACCACACGGCATGGGAATTCGCGGAGGCTGAAACCCAACTCCGGGAAAAGAAAGAGGTTGAACATGGATTCAAGCCCAAGCCGGTGCAGATCAAGAAGGAAGAAGCACCGAGATCTAGCCGCCCAAGGCACCACTATGACCCGGTCGTTCGCGTGGTCAACACAAAGGAGTGCCAGGAGATAAGGCAAGCATCGGTCAATACTCCGGAAAATCCTACTGGTCAACCGGGACGACAATGGTTGGGCAAGTATTGTTCATTTCATAGGTCAGATTCCCATAACACTTCCGAGTGCAAGAGTGTTAAGGGAGTCATCCGGTAAATGATAGACAGCGGAGAACTGGGCAAAGACTATTTGCAAAAAGCCCAGAAGAAGAGCCACCAATGGATCAGGCGAGCAGCCCAGGGGAATGACCGAGACAATGACTGGCGGAGGGACAACCGGCAAAGGGAGTCGCAGCCTACTCCTGATAAGGAACACATTGGAATGATCTTTGGCGGACCTGAAGGTGGAGATTCAGCCGCGCAACGGAAGAACTGGGTCCGCAGCATTTACGTCGAAGAAGTAACTGCTGACCAAGCCAGACGAAAGCAAGCAAGGAGGGAATCGATTGTCTTCACCGATAGGGACCTTCCGGCTACCGGTGAAGATCATAATGACCCTTTGGTTATCACCATGGACATTAACGGGGTGGATGTCGCCCGGGTACTAGTTGACACCGGCAGCAGTGTCAACATTCTGTACTTGGAGACTTTCCAAAAACTCAGGTTGTGTCCGACACAACTTGAACCCCTATAGACTCCTCTCTCAGGCTTAACGGGAGATACAGTAGATGCTGAAGGGTCCATAGTTCTACCGGTCGAACTAGGATCGGGTGACAGAACAGTATGGAAGAAGATGTGGTTCATCGTTGTGGACATCAAATGCGTCCATAATGCAATCCTTGGAAGACCGGGCATCAACAAAGTCCGGGTGGTGATTTCCATGCCTCACCTATGCATGAAGTTCCACACTCCAGGTGGTGTGGGAGAGGTGAGAGGCGATTAAAGGAACGCCCGGGAGTGCCATGCCCGGGCGGTCAAGAAGAGGACTAAGGGGGTCAACGTCATCTCCCAAGAAATTACGAAGGGAGAAACCAGGGAGAAACTTGAGCCCAAGGCCGAGACGGTGGAAATCGAACTTCACCCGGGTGATCCTTCAAGGACGGTGAGAATTGGAGCAAATCTTCCAGAAGATCTCAAGGGGGAGATTACGCGGGTCCTCCGAGAGTACTCAGGCATATTTGCATGGAGCGTGGCAGATATGCCTCGGATTGACCGCTCGATCATCTGCCATCGGCTGGCAGTGAGGTGTAACACCCGCCTTCCGTGGACCCGGTTCACCCGCGACCCAATAGACCGGTAGGTTACATGGATGGTCCGAGAACCGTCCGTAGAGAAAAACATTAATGTCCATTTTTTTATGAAACGGTTGTGTATAATTGGTGAATTAAATGTAGGGAGTTAACCCCAAAACGTGTGTGATTTAAATGCAGAGTAAAAGCGGAAGTAAAAAAAATAAGTCCAAAATAAGTAAGATGACATATGGTGGGTTCTTGCCCAAATGATTAATTGATTAAATATATTTAAATATTGAACTCGTCCGTGCGCCGCCCATCGTCCCATCATCACTGTCCTCCATGGTTAGAACCTGTACCGTCATGACTACCTGCGTGTAGCAAAAACAACTACACGCTCAGCAAAAGCTGAGGAGTGAATCTAACAAAAGAGCATGAAGTAATAACCCATATGATTATACACACATTAATACCTGTACTTAACGTACGGAAAACCACATGTCTACTAACTGTCTAGTTTGCACCTGTTGGGGGTACTATTACATTTAACAAAATGATGTGCTACCACATTGAATGTGAATGTGATGTGGAACATACATGTTGATGATACGACTTGATGCATGACCTAAACTATCAGGGACACCCCTGACTTAGCCTCACTTGACAGGATCACCCCTGCACTCCGGTTGTCATACCGAAACAGTAATGAGCCAGGAACAAGTGGACTAGCAAAACCGGGTAGTAGCCGTAACCTGACTACTATGTACGTACACAAGGCCCACTTGATGTAAACCCGTTGCATCCCGAAGGTTCCTGGATGGGCCCACTGTAGTAGGCGCACGAAAGCCTGACCTCCCTACAACGGTATGCACATGATGAACAACCTAAGACATGCGTCTAGGATGAACATGATGAATGCTTAATATATATATTTACCTTTGGTCAACACCAAAAATGTATCAAATAAACAACATACATGTTATAGATTAACATTTCATGCAAACATAAAATCAGATTCTGGGTCGTTATGGTCAACGGGACTCGTTCTACAAACTGCCAGGAAAACTGCCCGAGGAATGGTTGACCGTACCTTACCGGCGGTCGACCGCAGGTTACGGTCTAGGTCTGGGACACAAACGGTCCACCATCACACCCGGCGGTCGACCGTCACGGTGGTGACTATCGGAATGGCCGAGGGAACGGTCCACCGTCTGTAGCGGCGATCGACCGTCCCGAAGACAGTCCTCTGTCCTTAGCTTCGTTTTGATCCATTTTGAATACTTAACACCTTGATTCTTTTTAGAACAATAATACAAACATTGATGAGTATATTCCTAGTAATTTCTAGGCCATTATATATAAGTTTTACGTAGTGAACATTTTGAAGACTAACTTACGAACATGCATAGATTCTACGTAGGTCGCGTACGATATTCCTATGAATATAACGACATAGATTATAACTAAATATTCTAGAATTAGAGGGGACAACTACTCACCTCTAAACGAAGGGGTTGACGGAATTGATGGAACGAGATGAACGAGCGATACCTAACGAACGAACGAAAAATGGACGACGAACAACGTACGCTTCTCATGTGAACTTCTCCTCTTCTACCTTCCCGTCTAGTCGCCGGAGAAGAGGAAGAGAAAGTGAGAGGTGATGGTTGGGGGTTACAATGTGCTAAGGAGATGAAGAGGAGAGTGAGGGTTTAAATTAGGGGAATGAATGGAATTGATGAGAGATTAAATGAAAATGATGATGGTGAGTTGTGGGTGGCGTGGGTTTTGAAGGGATTAAATGGAGATTTATCTCCCTAAATTCTATTCCGTTGTGTAAAATCTAACGTGTACGGTACGCGGTTTTTCCCCGAACGGGTCCAAACTGAGATCCGTTTGCGTTTCTGGAATCAGATAGTTAAAACGAATTTAATGACATGTTCAAATAATTTTTCTAAGGATTATTTTTCCCAACTCTGGTCCGGAACAGTAATTAATTATTTAAAATAACCAATTCTATTAGACAGGGTTGCAGGGCGTTACATAAGGGATGGAAGTCGACCGGTATGCCAGAAGAAGAGGTACCTAGCCAATGACCGGCGAGACTTCGTCCGGAAGGAGGTAAAAGACCTCTTGAGTGTTGGTCACATCCGGGAAGTGAAATACCTGGATTGGCTGGCCAACGTGGTCCTTGCTCCCAAGGGTGACACGTGGAGGATGTGTGTGGATTACACGGACTTAAACAAGGCTTGTCTGATGGATTCATACCCCCTTCCTAGTCGAGATCAATTGGTGGACGAAACTGCGGGGTGCGAACTCCTAACTTTCATGGATGCCTTCAAAGGCTACCACCAAATTTACATGGCAAAGGAGGATGAAGAGAAGACGTCGTTCCTCACACCCGAAGGAACTTACTGTTATCGGGTAATGGCGTTTGGTTTGAAGAACTCAAGAGCCACTTACCAATGCATGGTGAACAAGCTCTTCAAGCCATTGATGGGAAAGACCATGGAGGCATACGTCGACGACTTGCTAATTAAAAGCCAGGTATCTCTCAATCACCCGGCTGACATGCGTGCAACATTTGATATCATGTCAAGATACAACCTCCGGTTGAATCCTAAGAAATGCGTCTTCGCGGTTCGTACCGGGAAGTTTTTGGGATTCATGGTGACCAAGAGAGAGATAGAGCCCAACCCAGAGAAAATCTGGGCTATCACCGAAATGCAAGCCCCTACCTCTGTTAGGGATGTTCAAAAGTTGACCGATCGCATGGCGGCCCTCAGCCGGTTTCTTTCCCGGTCAGCTGAGAGATCCTTGCCCTTCTTCAAAGTCCTGAAGAAGGCCAACACGTTTGCATGAGACGAAGACTGCCAGAAGGAATTTAAGGAGCTGAAGGAGCTAGTGTCAGATATTGTATTGTCAAAACCCGAACCGGGTGAAACTTTGTATTTGTACCTAGGGATTTCCCCAAATGCTGTAAGCTCCGCTTTAATAAGAGATGATGGGGCACAAAAGCCCATGTATTATGTAAGCAAAGCACTAAACGGAGCAGAAAGTAGATATACGACGATGGAAAAAAAGCCTACGCGCTTTTCATCTCCGCAAAAAGTTAACATCCTACTTCCAAGCTCACCGCAAAAAAGTTAACATCCTAAATGAGCATTAATGTTTTTCCCGCTACGGACGGTTCTTGGACCGCCCATGTAACCCGACCGGTCCGTTGGGTCGTGGGTGAACCGGGTCCACGAAAGGCGGGTGTTACAATTTGGTATAAGAGCGGTTCGGTTTTGTGAAAAAAACATATTTTGTCATCGTAGTCAAAGGGTATTTTTAAAAGTTGACAGCCTTATCTCCCATCACATCACTTCCAGGGAAAGGTACACCGTTATTTAATTCACTTATATGTTAAATTGTAATTAGTTCTGATTTAAGCTATTCTTATAGAGAATGAGCCAAGCAGCAGGCAACGACGGACAGGCTGTCCCACAGGGGAAGCCTGAGCACGTGAGCACACATCGAAGCGTCATACTAATAGCGTTATACGCTCACTTGTTCCCATTTTGATTATTAGATGAGTACCATTAGTACTAGAAGCGTGTCAAGCGTTGACTCCAGTCGAACCTTCGTGCACGGTAAGAGACGAAAAAAACAAGAGGCAAAATTATGATTTGAAAGAGCGCTAACAACGTGCACATCGCAAGGCTAGGATAGCAAGGCTAAGGATCTAGAAGCGCTGGAAGGCAGCATGGGAAAGAGATGATCTAGAGGAAACGTTCAGCGTGGACTCTGCTAACAGTATCTGCGGCGCAGGTTTGGATATTCCTCCAGTGGACTCAGCCCGACTAGGCGAGTGAGTTACCTGCTAACTTATGGCATAGTCGAGGTTGTAATCAATGCAACATTTCGTCCCACTTATCTAAACAAAATAAGTTCCTTGAACGGAATCCGTCGATTTCCCTCTTTCTATTATGCCCTTGTATTCTCCACAAAAAGTTTTGGGTAACGCACTATCTCCCTAAACACGTGAGGTGTGACTTGAGGAGAATTTCGGGGACGAAATTCCTTTAAGGGGGGATAATTGTAACACCCTCAAACTAGCCTAGTTTTAAATAAATAAATATTATTGAGACTCATTGTTTTAATAATAAATATTGAGATTTTGATCTCATTAGATGGACTTCAAAAGTTAATGTGTTTTTTTAAATATAAAATGATGATTTAATAGCGGGTATCTCGACATTAATTAAGTAAATTAATTAATTAATGATTGGGATGGATCCGGAAGTTGGGGGAAATAAAATCCTGTCATTAAATTCGTCTTGACTGCCTGATTCCGGAAACACAAACAGATCTCAATTCGGACCCGTTCAGGGGAAAAACCGCGTACTGTTCAGGTCAGATTTTTTACATAACGGAGTAAATAAATATTTGTAACTCCCTCTCTCTCACGCCATTCCTCTTCCACTCACCATCATTTTTTATTTAAGTGCCCACATAAATTCCTTCATCATGTCTCATTATTCTCCTTTTAATATAACCTCTTTCACCATTCATTCCCCCCTCACATTTGTAACCCCCAAAGGAACCATAAAACCCATCTCTCCCTCTCCCCTCTCTTGTTCGACCAAGGCAGCCAGGCGAGGAGGTTCCGGCGAGTCGACGGGGAGGTAGAAGAAGGAAGTTCACGCAAGAAGGTTGTCCGTGATCGTTCATCCGTTCAACCGTTCATTCCTTTGTTCATTCATCGTCAACCATTCGTTCATCTCATTTTCCGTTCATCGACCCCTACGTTTAGAGGTGAGTAGTTGTCCCCTCTAATTGTAGAACATTTAGTTATAATCTATGTCATTATATTCATAGAAATTACGTACGCAATCTACTTAGAATCTATGCATGTTCGTAGGTTAACCATCAAACATACGTTTGTCCACGTTATCAAGTTATGTACTCGTTAATATAAATGTTTTGAAACCTGGTAAGTTCATCGATTATTTAGCATGAAAATGTAAGCATTCGTTTCTAAAACTTACAACGTTTTGATGACAAACAAACAGATAAAATGGAAATCAGTGTGTCTTGATAATCGAGTTACAGGATAGTACAATCGACTATCAGGCCACGCTGGACTCCTCAGTTGATTCAGCACAGCGTGATAATCGATTATCACATATGTGATAATCGACTATCAGGCCCTACGGATTCTTGGGTCTAAATTGGCTTCACTGATGATCGATTATCACATAGGCAATAATCGATTATCAGGCTTCTCTGAACTTAGGACTTCCCGAACAAACCAACTTCACAATCGATTGTCATAAGGTGACAATCGACTATCACAGTCTGCAGGACTTTGGGGACAAAAGCTGCACAGCATGATAATCGATTATCAACAGTAGACAATCGATTATCAGCCAGTTCTGAACCTAAGGCCATTATGTTGAACAAATTGTTTTCATACGGAATCAAACATATATGTATGCGTTGAATTTAACTTCATTCTTCAACCAATGCATTCCTTTCATCATGTTTATCCTAGACGCATATCCTAGGTTCATCATCATGTGCATACCGCTGTAGGGAGGTCAGGCTTTCGTGCGCCTACGACAGTGGGCCCATTCAGGAACATTTGGGATCCAACGGGTTTTCATCAGGTGGGATTTGTGTACGTACATAGTAGTCAGGTTACGGCTACTACCCGGTTTGCTAGTCCACTTGTTCCCGACTCATTACTGTTTCGGTAAGACAACCGGAGTGCAGGGGTGATCCTGTCAAGTGAGGCTAAGCCAGGGGTGTCCACTACAAGAATTTGTCTGGTCTACAACGAAAATCTGCTACGGACCCTTTTCCGTAGCAGATCTGCAACGGATCAGCGACGGATCCATAACCTATGAAAAAAAATAAAATCTGCGACGGACGTCATTTATCCGTTGCAAATCAGCAACAGAATATTTTACCCTGTCGCAAATTTGAGTAGGTCAAATTTTGACCTGTTTATCTGCCACGGACGCTGAATTCCGTCGCAGATCCGTCGCACGGAAGTACTAAAAAACAAGATTGGTTTTTTCCCAGCCATTCGTCCTTCAAACCTAATCCCAATTCCTCTCTCTCCCGCACCCGTCCTTCGAACGCCACCCCTCCCCCACCCTCTACGCCCGTCCTCTCCGCCGACGCACGTCTTCGCCGCCAGCCACGCCGTCCTCTCCAGCCACGCCGGACCCTCCAGCCGCGCCAGGCACGCCGTTCCAGCCACGCCGTCCTCTCCAGCCACGCCGGACCCTCCAGCCGCGCCAGGCACGCCGTTCCGCCCAGCCGCGCCAGCCACGTTGTCCCCCAGCCGCGCCGTCCACCAGCCGTCGCCGCCGCTAGTACTCCACTGCCAGCCGTCTCTCTTCCCCCGCCGGACCTCCTCTTCTTCTTTGCCTTGAACTTGAAGGTATTTTTGTTTAATTTTATACAATTTATTTTTATTGTAATTTTTGGTGAAATTGAATTTGATTGTGTAAAATTGAGTGCATTTTTGGTGAAATTTAGTTGAAATTGTGTGAATATGAGATGAAATTGACTTGAAATTGGGTAACAATTGCACTACTTTTTGGTGAAATTCATGGCCGTGTAATTTTAGTTAAAATTGTGTTCGTAAATTTGTTGTTTATTGTGAGTTTAGGTAAAATTTAGTTTAATTTTGTGAAATTGAGGTGATGATAAGTTCATATCTATAGTTGAATGATTGTTGTTTGTGGTTTAATAAGTTTGTCGTTTGTTAGCCGCCTTTATTGTTGCTATGGTTTGTTGGTAATAAATGTCATTGATATTCTTGGTTAAATTATTGTTGTTNATTGGGTATGTCACGGCGAGAATCATGGTGACTACGTACCTCCCCAACGATCAAAAATCCCTCGTCAAGCTGATGCCTCAGATGTATCACATGTCCCGGGTAGAGAACAGTTTGTGCACATGATTTATGATGCAGTCGGCCCGACTAGGATCAACTCTGTTGTTGAAGAAGAGCCAAATTCGACAGACAAGCACTTCTTCAAAATGTTGAAAGCTGCTGATACAGATCTTTGGCCGGGGAGTTCTAAGACATCTCAGTTGTCTGCAGTTGCGCGCTTGTTGAATATTAAGTCAGAGCATAATCTATCTGAGCGTTGTTACGACACCATATGTCAAAACATCAAAGACATTCTCCCGGAGGACAACTCAATGGTGAATGACTTTTTTGAAACTAAAAAGATGATTGAAGGTTTGGGTCTTCCGGTCCAAAAGATTCATTGTTGTGTTCTTGGATGCATGTTATATTGGAGAGGCGATGAAAGTCTTACCGAGTGCAAGGTGTGTCATAAGCCACGCTATAAAGACGAGACGTCTAAGATTCCGCACAGACAGATGTTCTACTTTCCGCTTACACCAAGGTTGAAACGCTTGTATATGTCCAAGCGTACGGCGGGGGCAATGAGGTGGCATGCCACACATCGACACACAAACCAAGATGAAATGTGTCACCCTTGCGATTCTGAGGCATGGAAAAGATTTGATGCAGACCATCCTTCTTTTGCTTCAAAAATGCGCAATGTGCGCCTAGGACTATGCACGGAAGGGTTCCAACCCTTTGGCCAATCAGGGTCCCAATATTCATGTTGGCCCGTAATGATTACTCCTTATAATCTTCCCCCTGACATGTGCATGAAAGAAGAACATATTTTCTTGTCCTTAATTGTTGCTGGGAGGTCTAATCCGAAGCAGAAGATTGACGTTTACTTGCAGCCATTGATTGAAGAGCTAAAGACCCTTTGGAGTGAAGGTGTTGAGACCTACAATGTGTCACTCAAGCAAAATTTCAAAATGCGTGCTGCCCTCATGTGGACAATCGGTGATCTCCCTGCATACGCAATGATGTCTGGGTGGAGCACGGCCGGGAAGATAGCGTGCCCCATTTGTATGGATCAAGTTGAAACTTTTCGACTACCTACTGGAGGAAAGCAATCGTGGTTTGACACTCATCGACGTTTTCTCCCCATGGATCATCCTTATAGAAAAAATAAGAAGAAGTTTATCAAAAATACAGTTGAGACGAGAGCGCCACCCATTAGAAAATCTGGTCAAGAGACTCTACGTGACATTGTAGGTTTGGGCATGCGGAGGATCGTGGACGAAAATGGTGATGCCATTAACTCGGAGATTGTGAAGGATACTTCTTGTGGATGGAGAAAGAAGAGTATATTTTGGGATTTGCCTTATTGGGAGACAAATATGATTCGCCATAATCTCGATGTTATGCATATTGAAAAGAATGTGTTTGAAAATGTGTTCAATACCGTTATGGATGTACAGGGCAAGACAAAAGACAATGCAAAGGCAAGAGAAGACATGAAATTGTTTTGCTCAAGAAAAGAGTTGGAACGTGATCCTCAAACCGGAAAGTACCCTAAGGCTAACTACACATTGGATAAGACGCAGCGCAAAGCATTTCTGGATTGGGTAAAAATGCTAAAATTTCCAGATGGCTATGTTTCAAACTTGGGAAGATGTGTTGATCCAACAAAGCTGAGGATGTTTGGGATGAAAAGTCACGACTGTCATGTGTTCATGCAAAGGTTGTTGCCCATTGGATTCCGAGCATTACTTCCAAAGGTTGTTTGGGAAGCGATTACGGAGTTGAGTAACTACTTCAAGAGGTTAACATCCAAAACTATATCTGTGGAGGATCTTAAAATGTTGGAGGCAGATATCCCAATCATTTTGTGCAAGCTAGAAGCAATTTTTCCTCCTGGGTTTTTTAATAGCATGGAACATCTCCCCATTCATTTACCATACGAGGCACGAGTTGCT